TCAAATCCACCACAGAAGGAGGTGACCCAACATTTCCAGAAGAGTTCATAATGAGAAGAACTCGTCCTAAAGGAGAAGGTTCATAATGAGAAGAGCCTGTTCCTTTCAAATCCACCGCAGAAGGAGGTGAACCAACATTTCCAGAAGAGTTCATAATGAGAAGAACTCATCTTAAAGGAGAAGGTTCGTAATGAGAAGAGCCTGTTCCTTTCAAATTCACCCCAGAAGGAGGTGAATCGACATTTCCAGAAGAGTTCATAATGAGAAGAACTCATCCGAAAAAGAAGAAGTTCATAATGAAAAACTTGTTCAACCTTAGCTCGATTCATCGCATATGGAGTTGAATCAGAAACACCTCACTCGAGGGATCAACATTGCCAGTGGAGAGTTCATAATGAGAAGAACTCATCTGATGAGGGAGAAGAAGTTCATAATGAGAAGAACTTGTTCAACCTTGGTGATTTCATCATATAAGGAAGTGGATTGACATCCCCAGCGAAGAAGTTTATAATGAGAGGAGCTTGTTCGACCTATTGCTCGATTCACAACACTTCGAATCAGCAATACCTCGCTTGAGGGATTAGCATTTTCAATGGAGAGTTTATAAGAAGAACTCATCCGATGAGAGAAAAGAAGTTCATAATGAGAAGAACTTGTTCAACCTTAACTTGTTTCCATCGCATACGAAGTTGGAACAACACCAACATTCTGTTCATCGCAGAATGAGGTGGATCAACATTTTCATTTCACTCAAATCCATCACATAAGAATTTGGATCACATCACCTTGAGTCAACCATCGCAGAAGATAGTGGATTGACGTCCCCAGCGAAGAGTTCATAATGAGAAGAACTCACCCGATAGGAAGAACTTGGAGCTTGAGTGTTTGATAGTCCGATCAGAAGAAAAATTGGTGCTTTATGTTTTTGCTCTATTTCTGTTCCACAACAACGAGCAAAGAGGGGCAGCTGTACGCACCAATTTTTTTTACTAAACTTACAGCAGCCTCATGCCTTACCCCTGCCACCAAATAGCTTCCATGTCCCTACGCCTGCAACAAAACCCCATAATATCCGGGGCATTAAAACCCACATTGATCACAAACAACAACCTAGTATTATATTAGGTTTTTATTTTATATTAAATTTATGTAAGAATATGGATATATAATCCATGGAAAAATAAAAATGTACACAGAGACAGAGGGACGGAAAAGAAAAAAAAAATTCAGAGCAATCAAAAAAGAAATACAATCAGTTTTTTTTCCAGCAATCTCGTTTGAAGGTATTTCGATGTGTTTTTTTCTTTTTCTTTTTTTTTCTGTTGGATGCTAGTTATAGGGTAAAAAAAACAAAAATGAAATAAAATAACGATTTAGGAGAGAGTTTACCTTGCCCGGTCGGTTGAGTTCACGCCGCCGGGGTGTCTTTGTTGTGAAAGGAGAGCGTCGGAAACCCTTTTGGTCGTTTAGGGTCGTGGTCTTAGTCTCGGTTTAGGGTGGTCTAGGGCCGAATCTGGCGAGATATGAGTGTGTGTGACTAACACGAGCGTAGGAGGACCACCACCGGCGTGGGGTGGCCGAGCTTTATCTTGGTTTCGGCGTGCAACGCCGTTTGGAGTAAGGAAGAAAGGGGAGGAGTTAGGGCTATTTTCGTGCAGAAATGAGTTCTGGAAAGGGATGGGGTATTGATATTTAAGCTTTTTGGGTAAACCACGCTAAGGTCCCTGGACCTTTAGCGTGTTATACACAATGGCCACTAGTTTAGGGTTAAATCACCCTCTTGGTCCTTTCTGTTTAATATGATTAGCGTGTTAGTCATTATTTAGGGTTAATCGTGCTTCAGGTCCTCCTAGCTTTAGCATTTTTTGTGATTTAGTCACCATTTCCTTTTATTTTCTAAGATTTATGAATTAGATGCATGTTTTTATATTATTTTAATTTAGTCCTCTATTAGATATATTATTTTTTTTGTTCGAGATTGGCTATTGATATTTATGATATTCCATTTTAGTCCTATGTTTTTGGTTTTATTATGATTATGGTGCTTCTACTTGTTATTTTCTGGTTTAATGCTATAATATTTGTTTTATTAATGTTTAAGATATCAAAGTTGCTTTATAATTATTTTGTCACCATGTAATGAATAGATAAATGTATATTGTTTATTTATACCATTAAAGTATGTTTTATGTAATATGTATCTATTTATGTATTTTATTGTCTCTTACTTCATTATGTATTTATTTAGTATTACATATATATTATATTGTGTAAATGTTATAGTGTTTTATAATAAATATCATGACATATGTTAAATATAATATTTAGAAAAATTATATATATATTTATAAAGTAATATAAAGTTAAAAATAAATTTAAAATTGTTCTTTTAATCCATGTATATTTTTCTCTAAGTGCTTCATTGTATCATATTCTATTTTATTTAAAAGCCTCATTAGCATAACTTAATCGATTAGATAATTGGATTAAGGGTGGTATTTATGTATTTTAAAATATTATGATAGGACAGTCTTAAAACAACTAGATGTCATTTTACGATATTTTAAAATAAATAAATATCCCACTAGAAAAAACCTAAAAATTGATTGCATTTAAAATTAATTAATTTTGGAGGGAAAAGGAAATATTCATTATTTTAAACTTATCGAGACAATTTGCTAATTTTATTAGAGATTAAGTCTCGGTGTTTTTAAATTATTGAATATCTCTTATCTTTTCTAATAATATTCGGATTAATGAATTTAATTTCTTTCTTTGGTAGAATAATTTTTTTAATATGGAATCCTTAGGAAAAATTATTATATTCTTTTTATTTCAGTTGAAAAGAGAAATATTCGTCCTAAAGTATTTTAGGGAGTATTTTCTCTTCAATTAGAAATAAGAGAATATTTTATATTTTCCTTATAATTTTTGTTCTATAATATTTGTATGCTTGAATTAGGAATAATGAAATCGTGATTTAAATATATATTCGAATTCTTAGATTTCTACTATTTAGAGACAATATATAATCGATGGGTACCAATTTTGGGCGTTGTGGGGGTGCTTATCCTTTCCCACACGTAATCGACCCCCAAACTTTTTTTTATTACTAAAAATGAATTTCTGGTTATACGTGGATCAATGCATCTTTTAAAATGATGTTTTTCTTAAAAAATCTCTTTTAAAAGAAAATTTTTGTGTATTCGACCTACCTAACCCAAAAGGTCGATGGCGACTCTGAAACATTTCTTTTACAAAATCGAGTTTTCACAAAATAAGTCGAGACTCATCATATCGCCGGAAATCGATTACGACATCATCAAATAATAAATGTAGTAGTTAAGCCTATAGTTCATCGGACTTACCTTTATAAAATTTTATTATTATGATTTCAGTGAGTTAAAGAGTATTTTTTGGGTGTCACCCGCGGCTTTGCTTGGGGGAATACGGATTGATCATAATGTTTGTCTTTGAAAGGAACCGTAGCTCCGCGAGTCTCGAAGGTGGGGTTAGGAGGATGTCGTGGAGTCCTTAAATCCCCATGTGGTGAGATAAGAGCGTATTTCTCCTGTCCGACTAGGATAATAAGCGATGAAGGGCCTGTGGTGGTTGCATTCAAAGTTACTTTGGACATTTTAGAAGAGGCGGCATTTGAGGGTGTGAAAGGGCTGGTGTTTGAAACTCATTCAATAGTTGTAGTTTATTGGTTTGGTAATCCTAATTGTAGGCCAGCTCTTTTATGGTCTCTATTCAGTGAGATCTATGTAAAATCTAAAGGGGTAAACGGTGTCCGGTGTTGTGTAGTCCCTTCAAGCCGTTGCGTGTGGGCAGGTTGGCTGGCTTGGCCTGGGGTTGGAAGGATTGCCTTGTTTAAAGCTTGGTGGTGAAGGGTTGGTGTGGTGGCTTGGCTCGGGCTGTTGGTGTTATGGTGGAGCAAATTCTAGTGTTGTTTTGTGATCGTGTTGTGCAGTAAGGCTGTTAATGCTTGGGGTTTAGGCGTGAGGTGGGTCCTTGGGTGTGAAAGTGCGTGTTTTGTGGAGGCCGTGCAAGCGAAATCGTTTTATCGGAGTGAAGCAGATAGCCCAAGATTCGAAGTTGGTGGAATTGCTTGCTGCGATTTGTAGGCAGAGTTTCGTGTGAGTGGATTCCTTGTCTTGGAGTGCAGCAGATGGTCCAAGTTTGAAGTATCTGGCCGAATTGCCTGCTGCATTTTGTAGGTAGAGGGGCAAATTGTTGTCCTGGCAGCTGGTTTGGTTTCTTTTGTCCGCTAAATCATGTCTTCATGTGTAATAGTCCGGAGTCTTTTATCTGTTTAGTAGTGTCATTGTGCCAATGCTTGCGCTTCTTGTTAGATTGAGCTACGGTGGGGTTAAGTAGAGTTTTCGTTAAGTAAGAGGAGAGTTGTGATAAGGGTGGATATTCGAGTTTTCGGTTGAGTTATGCACTTGTGTTGTTGTTCTTGTACCTAGCTAGGGGTACTTTTTTCCTCTACTTAGGTTTAGGGAGATTTTTAATGAGGCCCCTATCTACGGTATAACTTATTATAAAAAAGAATTCTTGTTGATTAAAAAAAAGTAAAACGAGAATTGAATCATTTTTTTTTCAAACTTGATCTTCGTATGTATATATTTTTATACAGTCAATAGAATTGTCAATTTATCAAATATAAGATTTAAGTTAAAAGAAAATTATCAAGAGCATTAGCCAAGGCAATGTTCTTGCGAATTAAGATGATCGTTTCAATGGGAGCTTTTGTATTAATAACGTGGTACGAGTTGCGGGAGAATGATAATATACAAAAAAGCACAAGGCTAAACTCACTTGTGTTGAAAGGTGCAAAGACCAACACCATCTAATTGTGCTCGTCATACTTTCTCTCCTTGTGCCTTCTCGAGCATCTGCTTCTCACCGGGAAAGCACTCATGGTATAAAATGGTTACACTGCTTCAACAACAATATTACTGCTTTCTTGACTCGCATCTAAACAAATACACAACTTATTTGAACCAAGTAGAATCATGTGTTCTACTTTGAAGATTAACCAAAGAGTAGTAAGCACCTGTTGGCCCCTTCGCTAACAAGGATGAATGATTACCACTCTCAATTACCTTCCCTTTCTCTAACACAAAAATGACATCACAGTTTTGAATGGTAATTAGCCTATGTGCCACAACAACACTAGTCCTTCCTACCATCACTTGTTCTAATGCCTCTTGCACCACTTTCTCAGATTTACCATCTAGTGCACTGGTTGCTTCATCTAACAATAACATCGTCGGATTCCTCAATATGGCTCGGGCGATGGTGATGCGTTGCTTCTGCCCCCCGGATAGTTGTACACCTCTGTCTCCACACCAGGTGTCATAGCCATCTGCTAGGCCGGCAATGAAATCATGTGCATTGGCTGCTTTTCCTGCTTCAATGATTTCAGATTCATTAGTTTTAGCAGAGGCTCCATACAAAATGTTTTCCTTGATTGTGCCAGAAAATAGTGCTGGTTCTTGGCTAACGAGTGCTATGTGTTTCCTCAGTGACCTTAGGTTGTATAATCTTATATCTTGACCATCAATCTTCACTACTCCTTTGAGAGGGTCATAAAATCTTTCAATCAAACTGATGACTGTTGATTTACCAGATCCACTTTGCCCCACCAACGCTGTTGATTTCCCAGCTTCGATGGAGATTGAAAAGTCCTTCAAGATGATCATATTAGGCCTGGCCGGATATGCAAAATCTATGTCACAAATTTCCACATGTCCTGTAATCTCTTCAGCAACATAACCGTTAGAGTTGTCTGGTTCAATTCTTGTGTAGCGGTCTGATATGGCAAACAAAGATCCAGCAACCTCTACACTCTTGGCCAAGTCTGAAGTCATGCTTGCAACTTTAGCAATGAAAAAGCCAGTGGTAATCATGATGAGGTATGTTTCAATGAAGGCTTTTGAGGTGATATGTCCCTGAGATATGAGTTTCCCGCCATACCAGAAATCAAAGGCTATAATGCTTGACAAAAGAAATCGAGAAAACCCAAGTCCAAAACCAGCAAACCAAGATTGTCTAATGTTCTCTTTTCTTGGACTCTCATGGGATTTCTGTAGCATTTTCAAGATTCGATCTTGAGATGAGAAGGCGGTAATGGTTCGGTGGTTGGAAACTGCCTCAGTAGCAAGCTTGCTGCTCTCTTCTTGTGCTTCAATAGCTTTTTGGGACATTCTTTTTAGTAAGACAATTCGAGCGTAAACGGAGAGGATGATGAGGGGTTGAACTACTATCATGAAAATGGCAAGTCTCCATGCAATGAATAGGCCAAGTGCACAAGCTAAAATTACACACGAAATGGTTTGCACTAGAAAAGACACTCCGTCACCGATTAAAGATCTCACCTGTAAACATTCAACACCACCAAGAGTATTTGAATTTATCATCTAAATCAATTGTATGTATCTTAGGATTTTGAGTTTTTAATATGTACATTTTTTAAGTTATGCAGCTTGTTTTGAGATCAGATAGATTGAAAGCGATCATGTAGCTGGTTGGTATACGAATCATGTTTAAATTAACAATTCAATATAATCATAAAATAAAAATAATTAAAAGATGGAAAGAAGAACATACCCCACTTGCATCTTTTTCTAATCTAGCACATAAAGAGCCACTGGAATTCTCATCTCGGTCAAACCACGCAACTTCGAAAGTCAGTATCTTTGAAAACAACCTTTCTCTTATCCTCTTTGTCAAGTGCTCCCCCATGTAAGAAAAATTATAATGCAGAATAATATTGATCGTCAGTGAAAACAGAAAAAGTCCAAGGAAAGCCAACACATAAACCTTGGCCTTTTCTTTAATTTGCCCGTGCTCCGTGAGAAAAAACATTGATATCATTGTCCCCTTTGTGAAAGCTGAAATTGGTTGCACTGCACCAGCTAAAATTGCACTCAAGTATCCTATGGTAGCTTGTTTCCACTCCGGTAAATTCAAGGCCAACAATCTTCTGAAAGATGGTGTAGAAACTTTCATTTCTCCACCCGGTGAACCATGATTTGATGCTGCAGAATTGGTTGAACTTGTTTGGCTGGATAGAGAGGAGACTCTACAACTGCTAGAAATATTGATTTCCATGTTTGTTATACGAGCTGAGTCATTTACTGATAAATTTTCGTTGCATTCTTCCTCGGTTTTCACTTGTTCTGTTTGTTGAAGTTGCACTAGCATGGAATAAATACCATTTTCATTTACCATTAACTCATTATGTGATCCGATCTCCATGACCTGCCCATCTTGGACAACAGCAATTAAATCTGCATGTCTAATAGTAGAAAGGCGGTGGGCAACAATGACAGTTGTACGTCCAATAGAGGCCTTGTCAAGAGCTTCTTGCACAATACGTTCGGATTCAGAGTCTAATGCACTTGTAGCCTCGTCAAGGAGGAGGATTTTTGGTGCTTTTATCAAAGCTCTTGCTATGGCAATTCTTTGTTTCTGTCCACCAGACATTTGAACCCCTCTTTCGCCAACCTGTTAAATATGAACATAATTTTGAACATTTTTTCCTTATATTGAAGATATTTTTGTTCAAGCTATAGGACTATATGGACTATCATTTTCTACTTCTGGATTTTATACTTGTTTAGTAAAGTGACCCGAAAATAATACAGATAAGCAAAAAAACCTGGGTGTCATATCCTTGAGGAAACTGGGATATGAAATCATGGGCATTGGAAGATTTAGCAGCTTCAATAACCTCTTCCATTCCAGCTTCTTCATTGCCAAAGAGTATGTTCTCTTCAATGGTTGTTGCAAACAGTGTAGGCTCTTGACTCACCAACCCCATTTGTGACCTTAACCACTTGAGCTGCAATTTTTTGATAGAAACCCCATCAAGAAGTATGTCTCCTCCAAGCGGATCATAAAACCTTTGCAACAGTGAAATCACTGTTGATTTTCCTGATCCACTACTACCCACCAAAGCCACAGTCTTCCCTGAAGGAATTTTGAGACAGAAACTCTCGAAAATCATGCTCTCAGGCCTTGAAGGGTATGCAAACTCAACTTGTTTGAATTCGAATTCTCCCACAGTGTTATCCAAGGTTTCCCCCACCAAATTATCTAAATCAATCTTAGGAACTCTTTTAATCATTTCATTTATACGCTCTGCAGCCGCACATGCTTCAAATAAGGGCTTCAGGTTGGATAAGCCTATGCCAAGTTCTCTGTTTAATAAAAGGAAAAATGAAAAAACTATGCATGAAATAGAAAATTGATATATTGCACTATCTAAGATAGTATGCATCTTGCAAGGATTAAAAGTTTAGAACTCTCACTTTCCTCCCACAGCAATACAAGTGCCCACAATGAACATAGTTCCACCCTTAGCTCCATGGTACATAGCCATTCTGCTACCATAGTAAATAATGAAAGCCCAAGCGGCAAAATTAATTTCATTGCTTCCAATGGCTAAGCCTTTAGCCATCCCTTGCTTCAACCCCAACTTTAAAGATTCTTGTAGAGCTGCAGAGAACTCGGTTGTGGTTTTGTTTTCACTGACAAAGGCATAAACTGTTCTTATAGAAGATATTGCCTGCTCTGCTATTGTGCTGGCTTTATTATACTCTACCCTAATCTTCCTTTCAAGACTCAGTAAAATTCTTCCATATATCAAATATGGAGCCACCAGAAGTATAATAAACGGAGAAATCAAAAGGGCTAATCTCCATGCTAAGAGAAAAGGTATTATGTAACATCCAATAAATGTAGCACCTGTTGTTATTATGCTTGGAACCTGATACATGATAAACAAGTCAGTCGAATACTTTCTGCAAAGCTAAATGAAGAGGATGAATATTTTGAGAAACATTTGAAACCTTCTCACTGATAACATCTTGAATTATGAGACTGTCATTGGAAACACTTGCGACTACTTCAGCTGTGCTGGTTACATTCAGGTCAAAGTAGCCAACATCTTGTCTTAGGACAGCTTTCAAATACCTTGTTCTCATTCGAGCGGCTTGCCTTTCACTTGTCCTTGTCCAACAATATCCTTCTAAAAGATTTTGAAATCATAGAGCAAAGTAGGAGTAATTAGTATATTTGCTATTCCCTTTAACTCAGAAGCAATTAACTAGAAAAATAAGCATTTGCTTCAAACTCACTTAGGAAACATCCAGCGCCTCCACCACAGGCAATCAAAACAATATATAGAGCAACCTGTCAGCCATGGAAACAGGCCCGATGGATCTCATGAGTTATATGTATTCTATATACGGTATGGGCATAATCATTCAAATATATGGCAAATCTAAAAAAAAAAAGGTGAGCACACCCGAATCAGATTTCCATCTCAAGTCTGAGTAATATTAATCATAGCTTGTGAGTAATAACGAACCTTATTAACGTTGTGGGTGAGCAAATCAAGAGATGAAGCTGAACCAGCGCCGCCGACATTGTTAAACATACGGCCAGCCAAATATATCATCAGAGGAGGAGCAGTGCCATCAGCAACAGCTCCAATGAAGCCTGCAGCCATCAACCACATATCTACACCATCCGCATGCATGAAAATGGAACTTATGGATCCATGTTTCTCCTTCTTAACATCATCGTTACTACTAAACGTTTTCTTATCTTCCATTGAATTTTGTTTTTCCTCCTCCGTCAACTCTATTTGTTAATATCATGAACAGCTCTTCTCTCAGATTCGAAGCACCAAAAGTACTAGTTTGATATTATATTTGGTTTTCGTGTCAAAATAATTTCTTCTTCTCAAACAATAAGTAAAGGAAAGTAAATGTAGTAATATTTAAGTAAGGTGGGAGATTTGTAGATGAAGGGAATAAAATAGAAGTAAAAACAATTATGGAGATTGTAAAGAAAATTAAAAAGAAGTATATTTAAAGAATAATAAATTTGAAATTCAATTTATGAAAAATCAGCCTTAGGCTTTTGCTTTGACTCAGTTTTCTCGGATCATCGAAAAAGGTTTTTACTTCGGGATTCATCGTCGGTTACTTGTCTACAAGGACCAATCATTGTAACTGTGCTTTGTATACCGAATACCCAAATGCAACCTTTGATATCGATTTTGGAAATGGATCTAAACAACAATGTTACAGATAAAAAATGTTAAGCTCGTAAAAGACCGACTCAGATTATGTTGTTTCAATAATAATCGATTCCGATCTTAGTTTCCACTTAGCAAACAATTTTGCTAAGTGTGTTCCCAAGAAGTCGAATGTGCTTTCCATAAGTCGATTCTTCCTCTCACATGTTTAACCATAACAACATCTTGACCAACACGTCAATCTTTGATTTTGAAGTTGTTTTGATTTGAAAGTAAGCTCAGAAAACTGAAGAGATATTCTATAATTCGATGTTTGTTTAGGCTCACCCTAAGAGGGTACTTATAGCCTTTTAAAAATCTTAAAATATGCTAAAAATACAAAAGATAATTGTTTGAATTTAAAATCTAAAAATAAAAAGATAATTCCTAAAAACTTGAATTCTAAAATGCTTGAAATGCTTTAGTCGTCCGTCCTTCTTCTAGAATTGCTGACTGGACCTTATGGAAGTTGCTGATTGAACATTCTAGAAGCTGCTGACAAACTACCATGTCAACCATTTCATGTCCCGTTTCATGGCCACTATTCCAGAAAAAAAATACAGTTTTCAAGCTTTTTAAGCATATTTTCCAGAAATCATTATCTTGCACAGAAATCATATAAAATTACCAAAATCAACAATAGTAATGAACAACCAAGGATAAAATGTTGCACAAAATAAATACTAGTCAGACATTTAATGAATATGATAGAATTCTTTAATAAGATGTTTTTTAATCATAGTATTAACTTAGATTAGCTCCCATTTTCTACTTTGTACAAAAACGAAATATAATTTAGGCAATTTTTCCTATTGTCATTGCTATTTTCCTATTTTTGGATATTGAATTGAGTTTAGGTAAAATTTTAAAGATTTATTTCGATTTTTTTATATACACAAGAAATTACGATGTCCATTTAAGGGAACACACGTTATTGTCGTTGAACTTTTCTTTGTTCATCTTATAAATGATTAAACTATAATGTCAATTTTGTTCTAAGTTTCCACTGGAGGAAAAAGTCTTCGAAAGAGTAATTGTATAAAGTGAGGCTCCAATAAGCGAAAGTGGAGTTTAAATAATCTCTCATATGGTTGAAATATAATGTACTAGTCTATCCCATAAGCTAAGCTGTCTAAACGATTTCTTAAAAACAAATTTAATTTTTAAGTGATTAGAAAAAATCTTGTTTTGATTAATTTGGGGTTTCTTTTTAAAAATCAAAATAAAACATGGTTCAAAAGGTCGCCACCAATATTTAATTAGGGTACGATTAGACACTCAAAATGTTTTGTCATATTAATAAAATTTAATTTTAAAATTATTAAAAAAACATTTTAAGGTATGCGTACCAAAAATTGAGTTCTGGAGTCGATTATGCGTGGGGAAGGATTAACATCCCCACAACGCCCTAAATCAGTACCTTGTCGATTTATTAGTTGTCTTTGCAATGAATCTTACAAGTTCGAATTTAATTTAATTTAAGTTCCCTTTTTAAACACATTCCTTAACTTTTAGGACGGAAAACGCTAATATTTAATTATTTACTATCGAGAAGAAAATACCTCTCATACCTTAAGGCATTCAGTTCTTACTCTAATTGAAATAAAAAAATATTATTATTCCATTCGAAAATTCATTATTAATTCCCCATTCAAATGCATGAATAATGATGAAATAAAGACTAATTAAATACGAATTACCAATCCTTTTAGAAAGAATAAGGATGTTCGATTATTTAAAGACATCGAGATCAGACCTTTTATAAGTTCTAACGATTTCTCGATAAATTTAAATAGAACATTTCTTTTTTTCTTGTTCTCAAATTTTACGTGTAGTCAATTTTTAGGGTTTCACTTAATGTGATACACTTTCATTTTAAAATCATCGGAAATAACTTTCTTATACCTTCAGACAATCACTTCACAACAATTCTAAAATGAAAGGGTATTACCATTAATTCAATTATTTGAATCGAATCGAGTTATACTTATGAGGGTGTTGAACATGTTAATTTTGAAAGGATAAGTCAAACCTAAATCTATATGTACGAACAAACATACTTATATAAACACATAAAAAAGAGAATTAAATAACATGCTATTTTATCTAGATTAAATTAAATAAAATTTAAAGGCATGCATAAACATAACATATTCAATATCATAAATTCCACAACACGATACGTTATACTCAACCAACCAAAAGGACTTATTTATATATATATACATGAAATGACATCATATAGTAACTAAAATAAAAGAGGAGCAAATCTAAGGTCAAAATCATAAACTAAGCAAATGTCATGTTATCAAGTATAAAAAATTTTATATTTCAGGCACTAAAACCATAATAAAACCAAAGACGCATATGGTACTAAAGTAAAAATTATCAAAATTACAGGTCGAATGTAAAAACAGTATGAAATTTTTTAAAAAAAACTTAGTACTGGATTAAAAGGAAAGGAGCGTAAACTAAGAGGATGCAATCAGAAATTTCAAAAAACTTAGTCCGAGGACCAAAATATAGCGACTCGATATTAGATGGAGTACTTGCACGGTTTACCCGTCCCCATCATACGCGGGTTGCCCTAACCCCCAAAACGCTACCGTTTCATACACCCCACCTAAAGCCTTACTTAGGCTAAAATGAAAACCCTAATCCTATTATTATTCTTTCTAACCAACCTCCCCTACTCCGTTCTCTCATATCTACTCCTTTTCTCTTTCTTTTTATTTCTTTCACTTCCCTTAATAGGAAGACCACCACGGCTGCCACTGTCCACAACTTCGACAAGGGGGCCGAAACCTCCTAAAATGTTTAATCTTCTCTTTCCTACCCTCAAAACCAACCAAACCTGACGAGACACCCCCAAAATCCAAACGATGTACCCCAACACGATTCTCAAACCCCCAAGAAAACTCTTGGTCAAAATCTAAAGGAATTATCTTTGGTGACTTAGCGACGGTTTGACCCCGGAGGATGCCAGTGATCCCTTCCTCAAGAGAAAGGTGATTGCTTTTTTTTTTCCGGGGTTTTTAGTTTTTTATTGGTTAGTTGTTCACTCATAAAAAGGAAGGGCTTTTTTGGTTTGGTTCTTGTTGTATTGTTGAAGATATCGATTTTTTTTGTTTCTTTCCTCTTGTGTTGCTGCTCGTTAGTGAGAAAGAGAGAGCCCCCTTTTTTATTACCATCTTTTTAACATTCCTCCTTTTTTGTTTTTATGTGTGAGACCAAGGAAAATGAGTCTTCTTTCCCATCGATTTTGCTGTGTGGTTTTACCCAATGGCTTCGAGGAGCCCAGTGGTCTTTTTTGGAGCCTTTAGGCAAGGAACCCTCTGCCAATCTGTTACTGTTCTGGCAGAGGGGGCATAATAGGCTCACACGAGCTCTGGTACACTGAGGATGGCAGCGATGATGGCAGTGTGGGCTTGTGGATGACCAAATGGGTGTGATTTGAACCGTTGGTGCCCCTTCAATCCGACAGTTGATTCTCCTTGGCAGTGGGGAGATTGTAAGGGTATTCTCTCTAAACCCTAGCTGGCACATGGGCTACTACTTAGGGCTCCTAAACAATTGGGCTTTCTTATTGGGCCTTGCGGGTTAATTGTTTGTAATATTTGAGCCTATATCCAAAATTAATAAATTGTTAAATATTTGTTTTTAAATTTTAACTTATATGTAGATATTATATTATAATCATAGGCACATTACATATGTATATATAATAATATGACCATTGCAACACATGTATTTATAATAACAATAATAATATATAATAATATATAATATATGTATATGTATATAGACACACCCTTATATAAATAAATCACCATACCAATAATAAATAATATTATAATATATGTGTAGACAGAAGCATGTACGTATATATATATTCACACATAGTAATTATAGTATATACATACCCATATAATATAAACCCCCCATATATATATATATAACATACACATTCCTATATATATGTAGTATGCATACAAAACCCTAATGATAATATAATATGTATACATATGGAATATGCATGCTACACATATATATAATTAAATAATTAACCCGATAACCTCTTATATTTATACTAGTTAATAAGACATATATATATATATACACACACACACACAAAACAAAACTTGAATGAAATCCCCAGACAAAACGAGCATCTATAGCTACCCCTCTTTGCTCATTGTTATGCAATAAGAATAGAGAAAAGATTAAAGAATGGTCATATTTTTCCGGTTATGAGGAATTCAAAAGGTTAGTCTACTCCACTGCAACTTCAGGGTAGGTCGGACTTGATCTGCTCCACTATTTTTCTGGGTAATCAGTTCTGAAAAATTTGATTCACTTTGCTACTCTTGAGGGAAGGTTAGATTAGGAAATTTTGATTCAATTCACTGTTTGCAAGGAAACATTGAATCAAGGTTGACTTGCTTCGCTACTTTTCAGAAAGATCAAATCTGAAAAATAAGGATATGCTCCACTACTCTTTAGGAGAGATCAGATCTTTTAAAGAAAATAGATTCACTCTACCCCTCT